ATAAAATGATTAAGTATTTAGTCAACTCTTTAACCCAACTCTTTAAGAGTAAAATACCAACACATTTGATTTACCTCAATGATGAAACGGTTAGCAACACAAGAGGGGGGGGGGGGGGGGGGGGGGGTGAATTGTGTGTGTGTGGAACCGTGGCAGTTTTTCGCACAGTTCTAGTGTGGGGTCCAGGGAATTACGAAATAGTAAAGTGCACAAGGATTTAACGAGGAAAAATCCCTTGGCTCAAAGGGATTAAAAAACCTCGACCTCCCTCGGAGGAATTTGAACAACTCCACTAAAAAGCCTTTGAATGATTACAAGGGAAACTCTCCTAGTCTACCCTTTAGCCACCCCAACTCTATCCTCTCTAGGAAGAGTTATGCATCTCTACCTTGCGGGTAGAGAGCCTCTCAGCTTTACAACAAAGCTCTCACAACACACTAACCAACCCGAGGATGCTACACTTAGCCAATCCTCAAAAACCCAATTACAATATGAAGAAGGGAAAAAGAAACTCTGTCTGGAACTCCGTGAGCAGGTTCAGGTGCCTTGGACTTAGTGAATATTCTCGTGTATATTTCTCAATATAAGCTCGGTCAAGCACACATTTTGTCTGGTCCTTTGTCCAATATATATAGCATCCGTAGCCTCGTCTTTTCCTTTTATTCAAAGATCTTCCGACTCACAATTATGGTGATCCTCGGTCAACCATATAAATATGGAAGTATATTATGAGTAAATCATTCAATAATAAAACAGATATGGAGAATATTACGTATCACATATAAGGAGAATATTTTGTTCTCCTAATATAAGCATCCAACGGACATTATGTAGCAATCAACATATTTATATAATTAATGATTAGTTCTCAAGAATATGTAACGATCATATAAGTAAGGTATTCAAATAAGGTGCTACAGAACATGCAACCCAAGATACTTTCCATAATATAATGACTTAGTAGCATTAAGTGATAAGGAAATGTTTACTTAGTGGATCTAAATATGCTACGGTCGATTTGTGCGGGATTCTTAACATAGTGGATTTTTATGTAGCATTAATAATGATTCTTTCCATAAGCTATATAGGCCAACTCATAGAGGTGAGTGCTTAGTCATATACGGAAAGATATTTAACTTGTGCCACGTATATTAAGAATATGCATGATCAATCTAGGCATGTAGATGAGGTATTATCATGCAGGCTCATATTAATTTATTCATTATGCACAACAATCATTCATATAGATCAGAACTAAGTATAGTTCCAATTCTCGTTCCTAATGGACCTGAGAGTAGTTCTGTCCGCCATTCCACCTACATGGTTAGTCATCAACAAAACAACATATACAACACTCAAAATAGCTTTATAGCTAATTCTCCTAGTTCATTTAGAAGGGCGGTGCTCAAGCGTTATCTCGATTCTTGAGCCCAGTGATCCGTTGTTTTGTACGGTCACTCCGATCTGCTCTCGGTATCACATCTCCTCTATTAGAATCTAGACTTCTACCTTAAGTGTGCACACCCCCTAAAGGGATTCCAAGCCCTCCGAGTAGTATGAAGTCTAAGTAGTTCTGACGTCAACGTCTCCCTACTCCAAATGGGATATACTCCCTAAGTTCTAGGTTCAAAGACCCTTAAGAGAATAGGTACTACTACTACTCTAATAAAAAGGGATCTGATGCCCAGTTGTTCGGGGTGGTTACCGAACCCTCCAAAATTCATTTAATTTGTTTCACACCTCTCAATTCAAGTAGTAGTAGTCCTAACCCTCCCTCACCATTAACGGACGTGAAGGTGGCCCGACACCTGCGGATTTCTCCCGCGGTGCCTCAATTATGAAAACAGTCTTTTATCTTGTCTTTTCAAAACTCAATATTTATGTCTTATAGACATTAGTGTCACCATAAAAAATATTAGCTTTCCTTTGTTTTCTCAAATTCCAATCAAAAGTTCATATCTTTCAAAATACGCTAAAATTCCCATATATTTTCTCAAAATCCAATTTACTGACAACACCACCAAAATTATGACCATTAGAAAATCTCCCAAAAATCATATACAATAACTTGTATCAAAATCCAATAATAACAAACCAATATATCAAGTACAAACAACTTCATATAGAATAACATTTACTCAAATTTAATACACACAAATACATGACTCGAATTGTATATTAAAACATTCAAAATAATTACGAGGTAAAAGGTATAAATTTCGGTTGCAATGAAACTTACCTCAAATCGCGATAAGTCCTAACCGAAGCTTCTATATCGACCTTCTCCAAATTCACATTCTAAGAATATTAAAATTATAAATCAATATATTACTCAAACTATAGTTTAATTCATCTACCCTTATGAATTCTCACTGTTGTGATTATTTTGTTTTTCAAATGACTAATCTGTATAATAGTCCAAGTTAGCCAACTAATTTTATTTGGCCAGACCCGGCCAGCCCTTCATCATTAAAATTCAACCCAGCTCAAATTATAAAAAGGAAACAGAAGCCAAACATACTCGTTGTTTTCTTCTTGTCGCATGTTGACGCAGGGAACAACGACGCCCTGGCTAGTGGCTACTCTGACCGGTGACCCTCGTAACGGCTTCCGTGAACGGCAACAGACATCGACGACCTCCCTCCCTTTCCTTCAACGGCACGACAGTTCAGCGACGGTAACTCCGTAGACACCTTCGATGACACCTCCTCCGGCGAGCAAAACGCAACGATGTAGGAGACTCCGGCGATGCAGCTCATGTTCGGCCAAGGGACTGCTCCATCCTCCTACTGATCTGCACCGTGTGGTGAGTGGCAATGGTCACCGTCTGTGCAGTGACTACGTACGACAACTTCCTCTTCTCCGGTGAAGGCGGCGGCGAAGACTCTGACTGACCCTTCCTCTCCCTCTCTGTTTTTTTCTCTGTTTTCTTGTTTTCTGACACCGGCCGAAGGTCTATGGAGGAGTCTCGGTCGATCGTAGCTCCGGTCGTAGATGGAAACGAAAGTATATATAGATATGGCAGAGTAAAGCCATGGTCTCGTGAATGATAGGCCGCAACACACGTAGGGTTTCCTTTTGTATCGCAGACTGATGGACGGGTATATATAAGGCAGTTTAGAAGACTCCAACTTACGTTTCATGCGTAAGAAATGCGTGTGTGAGTATATTTGTTAAGTACTCCGTATCATAATACGTTTACGTGTATATTATTAATGTACCGTATTACTATCCCACGTCTGCATTAGTATTGCTATGTATATATGTAATATGTATAGTGCAGGTCATTATTTTGTTACTTTTATTATTTTGTACTCCGTATAATTATAATTGGTTTTTGAATAGTCAACTTTTGTGTATTTCTCATTTAGTGCTCCCTATTTATTTGTTTTTAGGTGTGGGATTTAGTGTATAATTGTACACTTACTAATCGACGCTTTTGGAACAAAACATCTTTAAATGCCACTTTTATTATATATCATAAAAATGTTTTTTCCATTATTGAAATATTTTTATCTGTCTAAAACGTCGTAAATTTTGAAATTTTATCTAAAACTCTCATTTTTATAATATTTCATTTTACTAATAAAATCATTTATTTTATTGATTTTTTTTCGGAGTGTCACATTCTATCCCCCTTAAAAATATTTTTCGTCCCCGAAGCAATTACTTACTCATAAAAAGTTACGTTACAAATCATGCAATAGAAGTGTGCGTTAATGTACTCCGGTCTGTATGTTTAAATAACAAATTCACATCTTATTTCATTCGTTCATTTTTATTTATTTATTTATTTTTATTTTATTTGCATTTAAATTTTTAGGGTGGCACAGTTACGTTGCCAGTTATGGGGTTGTCTCCAACCACTATCATTGGGGCTTGAGACATCTCTGATTAAATCATATCCAATACTCTTGTCATCGCTGGAGCGACACTGCACTCTTAGAAGCTTTGAGGTTTTAGAAAAGTGATGGGCTGAAATTTTAGAAGTTTAAAAGTTGATATCAAATCAAGAAAACGCGGCACACATGGAATTAAACGCTTCGGCTCATAATTCAAGCCACTTTTGTGGAAACTTTGAAATTAGTCATAATCTAGGAATTGAAAAGACCAATAGTAATATTGGTGCCATTTTTCTAACATATTTAGCCATATCCCACACCAGTGTGGATATATGTTATTGTCCCAGATTCTCGACCGTCACCATCATCATCCACCCATATAAACAAACTTAACACCTGCCACACACCACCGTCATTTACAAGGTTGTTAAGTGCATGAATCATTGACCACCACTCCCAACTATTCCCGACATATATAGTTTAACAATAGGATTTAACAACAATTATAACATTGAACTTAAATATTTTATTTTATCAATGTGGAAGAAATATATATGTTGTATTATTTTTACCACCATAACTATGAAGAAATAAAAATGATTTTGTAGCAATTTGAGTTTTAGTCATTCGACTATTGTGTCAGTTACACTTGTGATACTCCTCTTTGAATCTTTCTACATTTACTTTTTAGACCTTTGAGACATAGACACTTTTGTACTCGTCTTTGAGTTATTTTTACTTTTAGTCATCCATCTAATGTCAAAGAGACATATTGGATAATTAGTTGGATAATTGTTGAGGCAAAGTTATAGTTGGAGGACTGAAAATATCATTTTCGTAATAGCCGAAAAACGTAAGAGTGTGTGCCAAAAGTGTCACTATTAGAATAATGAAAAGGTTAAAAGTGAAAAAAAATCGAGCTTGAGTCCTAAATGTATTATAGGAAAAACTACGGCAATGCTAAAAACTAAATGAAAAAAAAATCAAACAAAAGTATATGCATTGCATTTTATTGGAGTATTAAATAAGTGTAGGAACTCGAGATTTAGTAAACCAAAAAATTGTAACCCAGAATCAGGATGTAACCATTTCTAAAATTGAAAGCACATTCCATCACTTAAAGAGATGTTTTCTCTGTGTGTCTTCTTCGTTGGACAGATGATGTATGATAACATGAAGGAGAGAGTGCAACATGCGTGCGAGATAGGGATGATAAGCGAGGAATATATAACCAACGAGGAAGCACATATGATATTCGAAGAATATCGGACTTCAAATTTCACAAGTCAAGATCACCCTACTGTTATTCAGGTTTCTTCCTTCTACGTACTAGCTAGCATCCTCATTGAAAATATATTTCTAAAATATTAAGTATGACAAGTCATATTTACACTTATGGATGAGAAGGTGCTACTAGAGAGTGGGAGTAACAAAGATACAAGGGGCCAATCAATGCCAAACCTTGTCTATGTTTCAAGGGAAAAAAGCAAGAGCTGCCCACATCATTTCAAAGGTGGCGCACTTAATACCCTTGTAAGTTTTCCAAATCTTTTGAAAATTATTGTAATATAAACTCCAAAACTTGTAAAGGCATCTAAATCCCACCAAACATGTTAAGTCCGATTTAATTCTTACATTCACATCATTTGGTTACTAATTCAACAAGGTAGAATATTAGTGCGAAATTCAAATCTTTCAAACGTTGCAATTTAACTTATACAAGCAACTATTCGAACTAAAACTAAAAGAGAACACACAGAATTGAAGATAGATATAATCTCAATATGTTTACAATTTCTCATTGTACTTCTATCAAATTGGGTTATTCGGATGCAATCACATATTTTACACGCTCATGATACTAATATTTATAATGATAAATCTTTGTATTGTTGTTTATACAGAGTACTAACTTTTGTTCCCAATGATTATTAAGCTTCGCGTCTCCGGTGTTATGACAAATTCACCAATAATCCTAACATTGGATTGTGATATGTACTCCAATGATCCTAGAACACCTAAACGGGCTTTATGTTACTTTATGGATCGCTCAGTAAGGCCCCATTTGGGTTATATTCAGTTTCCTCAACGCTTTTATGGGATCAACAAGGCTGACATATATGCAAGTGAACATAAACATGTTTTCCAAATTAACACAATGGGCATGGATGGCTTCTCAGGCCCAAATTATTATGGAACTGGAAGCTTTTTCTGGCGACAGACATTCTTCGGTGGCCCATCTAGTTTTTTTCACCCTGAAATTCCGGAACTGTGCCCAGATTATGCTACGTCAAAGCCCATCAATGCTCCTGAAATTTTGGAGCTTGCACATAAAGTTGCAAGGTGCAAGTATGAGGACCATAATGGATGGGGTTATAAGGTATGTATAAAAGATACATTGTGCATCGATTGAATCTTAAGAGAAAATTGTATTTTGTATTTTATATCCATATTTACATGGAACATTAATTTTTTATCTCACGTTTTTAAGCTATATTATTTGCATCACACTATATATTTTGCATTTCTCTTAAGTAGTATCATATATAGGAAGTTTATTTCAATATCACATTGTCATTCTTGTCTCATTTGTCTCACCAACAAAGAGAAAAATAAATACTTTCAGAATCTAAGTTTACATCAATACTAAACTTTACACTATGTTCTCACTTCTCAGTAGTCCTAACACAAATACATTAAAGTGAGGTGCAGACTCAAAGAAATTGGAGCAGGAGATTTAAAGTCTATTTTGGTGTAAACACAATTGCAAAAGCTAATTTTTCTTGCAGAAAATTAAAAAGTTTTTAGTTTGCAATTTTTAGCAAGTTTGTTTAGATAATGCAAAAAAAAATGCAAACCTCATAATTGTTTAAAGTATTTGCTGATATTCAATAATGTGCTCACAAATAGGAATGTCCACTAAATTTTTTTATATTTTTTAACTAATCCTCTATAATGTAATAGTTGTATGGTATTTTGAAAGTACTTCAAAAAATTACGAGGTAGCCTTGTGGTTTTTTCCTAATGTAAATAACTATTTAAAGTATTTGGTGATATTCACTAATGTGCTCACAAATAGGAATGGTCATTAAATTTTTGATATTTTTTTAACTAATCCTCTATAATGTAATAGTTGCATGGTATTTTAAAAGTACTTTGAAAAATGATGAGGTAGTCTTTTGGTATTTAACTAATCCTCTATAATGTAAATAGATCTTTGATCATTTTCCTAATACATAAAGGTGTTCTTATAAAAACTTTCCAAAGAACTTATGTCTTTTACTAATTAACATTGGGTAAACTCATTTGGTTGATAACCAAACACTAATGATACTATGTCTGCTATTAAGGATGTTTTTACTTGGACTGAAATTTGCTGGTCTGGTTTGGTTTGATCTGAACTGGTCTGGTGTGGTAAATGTCTGGTCTTGATGTATTTTATAACTTTCCAAGTCTTGTCTGGTCTGATCTGGGACTGAAAACCGCGCGCTCAAGTAAAAACATCATAAATATATGTAAAATTAAATCATGTAATTTTATCCTCCAACCTATATTATAGTTGTGCAAATAAAAAACGAAATATAAATATATTATTGGGCAAAACGTGTTTTACTTAATAAATACATCCTAGATTCTTCACTTGAATCTCCTTTGACATTTCAAGAGTGTAACTTGGATTGAAATTTTCAGATGGGATTCAAATATGGAACAATAGTGGAGGATACGTATACTGGTTACCGACTTACATGTGAAGGATGGAATTCAGTATACTGCAACCCAAAAAGGGCAGCTTTTCTCGGTAGCATACCGATTTCACTAAATGACACACTTAGTCAACAAAAGCGATGGGGAGTTGGTCTCTTACAAGTAGCTCTCTCAAAGTACTCGCCACTAACATATGGCACTCGTACGGCTGGTTTCATAATGGGTTATTGTTATACTCACCTTGCCTTTTGGCCAATTTGGTGCATTCCGATAACGATATATGCTTATCTCCCTCAACTCGCTCTCCTTAATGGAATTTCCATCTTTCCAAAGGTAAAAGTTTAGTGTAATTACTTCTAATCATATATTAATAATGTAGTGCCATTTTCTTTAGTTTAACATGTCAACATTAATATTAGCTCGCGGCAACAAATAATAATGATCTTTTATTTTATAATATGAAAATGCTATTGATATTATTTTTGTATATTTATTTGCTTATTACTAGAAACATACAACAACAACATACAAGCCTTAGTCCCAAAATATATTGGGGTCGACTAACATGAATCAATACGTGATATCACCACCAAAAGGAAAAGAAAGAAAATAAAGATAAAAAAGATAAGCTATTATAAAAAAGATGATATAAAAAGAGATGAATATATAATACATACTTTCATTCTAAAAGAATGATAAGGTATACTTTGGAACATTAGGTATATATTCGGGATTATTAATTACTATCATTATTTTATGTATCTTATTTTAATTTGGTACACAATTGATTTATGTCTCGTTATTTTATTTATCTTATTTTAACTTTGAAACACTATGTAATGCTCCTTCATGCATGGATAGCACATTTCAATATTGCACATTTCATAAACATGAAAATCAAGTGACTGGAGTGATTTTGAACATTACAAGTGGTGCACATGTTCAAAGGGATCTAAGATTGGCAACTTTGTGCCGTTCTTTTTTTTTTTCTTTTTATTGTTTCAAAGTGGAAACATAACATAATAACACGGGTTAGGGGAAGTTGGAGAGGATCTCGCTACTCCAAATTTTAAAAAGTGTAGATGCATATACAAATATTACAACCTTCTTAAGATGTTAAACTTTGAAATTTGTTTTTTTTGTCAAGCTTTTCTGCACATGGAGTACTAAAAATATGACATGACTGTAATACACTCTACTTTGTTGTATCAGGCATTTGACACATGGATTCTTGTATATGTGTTTCTTTTCATCGGAGCAAACACACAAGATTGTTATGACTTCATTTCGACCGATGGAACATTTCAGAGGTGGTGGAGTGACCAAAGGATGTGGCTAATGAGAGCATTGTCGTCCTACTTATTTGGAGGAGCTGAGTTCATCATAAACAAACAACTCCGAATACCTACACTGCAAGGGTTCAATTTGACAAGTAAAGTTGTTGACAAAGAAAAAGGAAAGCGTTATGAACAAGGACTTTTCGAGTTCGGGGTGCCATCGCCTTTGTTCGTGCCTTTAGCAACTGCTGCAATCATCAATGCCGTTGCATTCATCAAAGCAGTTGTGAGTGTAATAATCTCAAAAGGGGAATGTTTGGATATGTTCATGATTCAAATGTTTCTTGCTAGCTATGGAGTATTAAATGCTTGGCCGTTTTTTCAAGGGATGGTGTTGAGAAGTGATAATGGAAGAATGCCTATCATGATTACCATCACTTCAAGTTGCATTGCCACAATTATTTATATTGTGTTTATTTTGTTTATTGGATTTAGTGTGTAATGCTAGCTAATACATTACATACATAATTGATTTTTATTTTAGTTTCAATAATGTGTTAGTGTTATTTAATGCTACACCGCATGTATTTGTCATATCACAGTTGAATTATTCACGAAGTATTATTTAATTTATTAAAATTCATTTTTTATGTAGTGAATTCCATTTCATTTTCATTGTTACCGAATAATTAGGTTTTCCATTTTGTTTTTTTTAATCTGGAAGGAAAACCATCAAAATCAGTGAGGCAAATGCCGGGGAACATCTGCTAGATTTTATTAATATAAAGTAGATTACAAAAATGAGAAGGAGACCAGACCAAAACCTCTCAGAAGAGGCATACCTCTTCGAAAAACAAAGCATGCAAAAAACAGAACAAAAAATTGGGGGTAGACCTGACCCAATTTTACAAAAAGAAAACACATGACAAAACAAACAGAAAAAATAAAAAGGAGTTTCAGGGGGACTAAACCTTACCCGAGACTAATACAAGGAAAATAGTAAAGAAAAAACTTAATTAAAACGAAGTAAAGGGATACCAAAAAGATCCATGAAGTATGCTCGTTTAGCAGATATAGGAAGAGAAGACGGGCTACTGAAATTCCGAGGTGGGCCCGAATGGGCCAGCGCTAGATAGTGAGCAGTCCAGTTGCTATCCCTGAGCGTATGACCAAAAGTGACTGTTTCCTTTTCCGCAATCTGTATAGTTTCCTGAAAAACAAATCTCCATCTACGCACCTCTTTATCTTCCAGGTAAGAAATCGCCAAAGCCGAATCAGTCTCCAATCTGAAATGGCTAAAGCCCTTATCCACCGCCCACTTCAAAGCTACCAAAATCGCCTGAATCTCAGCATGAAGAGGAGAAGAGGCGTCCATTTCAAAGCTTACAGCCTGGACAAGCTCGCCATTTCGATTCCGGAGAATAGCACCCCCAGCGGCAGAACCAGATAAGTATCGAGCATCTGTATTAAGTTTCATACCTGAGCAGGGTTTAGTCCATTTGATTGCCTGAATTTCAAAAACTTTTCTACGGAAATCAGTTTTGATTAGTCGCTCCTCATACAGGATGTTGTCAACCGAACGAAACTTTTTGTCTTTAAATGATCGAGTCCAAGCCTGAGTATAAATTTTGATAGAAATATCAGCGATAAAAGAATAAGGATCAGAATATGGCCCAACTGATTAGTTAGTTAGTTGATTTGTTATTTAACTAACTACAGCTTAGCTGGCACTATCTAGAACCTTCTTTGTAAATACAAATGTATATATAAGTAGCTGATTAAACTTGATGAACGCGGATCATAATAAACATTTTCTTCCTCTACTGTTTCCAAATATTGATCATCTTCTTCCCTAATTTCATTTCATATCTTCTGTTAACTCTCTAAGATGGTATCAGAGAATTAGATATCAAACTATTCAGATTCAATAATCAACAATGGCTCCAAATTCCGAATCAACATCCAACGACGATCCAACTCAAAATCCAAATTCTCCTTACTATGTTCATCCAAGCGAGAATCCAGGAATTACTCTCGTATCTCCAGTTCTGGATGGAGATAACTACAATCACTGGTGCAGATCCATGAAGATGAGTCTAATATCAAAACAGAAATTGAGCTTCGTCGATGGAACGATAAAGATGCCGTCAAAGGATGACACTCTATATCCTGCGTGGGAGAGAGCAAACAACATTGTGAGCTCCTGGATCATCAAATCTGTTTCACCGTCAATCGCTCAAAGTGTTCTGTGGTTCGATAAAGCCCAAGACATCTGGGAAGAGCTAAAAGAACGATTCTCACAAGGTAATTTGTTCAGAATTGCTGATCTGCAAGAGACAATAGCAAATTCAGACAAGGCGATATGAATGTTACAAATTTTTTTACTGAATTGAATACACTATGGGATGAGTTGGACATTTTCAGACCTTTACCAGAATGTACATGTCAAATCCAATGCTCATGTAATGCTATCAAATTGATAAAACAGTACAGAGCTGATGATAAGGTGATACGTTTTCTCAAAGGGCTAAATGATGTTTATGGAGTGGTCAGATCACAGATAATGTTGATAGAACCTTTACCTTCCATGAGTAAAGTGTTTTCCCTGGTCATTCAGCAAGAAAGACAGATCTACAGTCAGGAATCAGAAAGCAAAATCATGGCTGTCTCTAGATCAAACAACAGAAACAATGGTACCACAACTCAATATAAAGGAAACTGTCCAAATCCTAACTACAAAGGATCAAACTACAATCCTAATTACAAGGGGAACAAGAGCCAAAATAATGGGAAAATCTGCGATTATTGTGGACAGAATGGACATACATCTGACACATGCTACCGACTTCATGGATTTCCAGCAAACTTCAAATTCACAAATAACAAAGCTGTTAATTCTGTGAACACTGAAGAGGAAGAAAATCACATTGATCAACTGACTCATGCTTCCGTTAACCAAAGAACAAGTTCAGATACTAACATGTTTGGAATCAGTCAAGATCAATATCAAAGGCTCATCAATCATCTCCAACAAACAACCATACAAGGAAACAATCAACAGAATACCACTCAGAACACACAAAAGAGCAGTGTCATGGCAACTACTTCACAAAATTCCATCCTTGACAACCAATCTGGTAAAAATCTCTATGATTGTCATATTGTTTCATGGATTTTGGATAGTGGTGCAACAGATCATATTTGCTATAATCTTTCAATGTTTTCCTCATATCATAAAGTCAAACCAATCAAAATCAGTTTACCAAATGGTATTGAGTTATCCACTGATATCATTGGTTCAATTCATCTTACAGAAAGTTTAACCATTTGCAATGTCCTATTCTTACCATCTTTTAGCTACAACCTACTGTCAATACCAAAATTAACTTCTGTATCTTCATGTGTTCTATCTTTTGATGAACATCACTGTGTCATTCAGGAAAAGAAGAGTTTGAAGATGATTGGTACAGCTGAACTCATTGGTGGGTTGTATGTGCTAAAATCATCACCCAATCATTACCATCATTTCTTCTCTACTTGTAATTCTGTTTCAGTTTTTAACTCCAATCACATTTCAGAAAACTGTCTCTGGCATTATAGATTAGCTCATGCTTCAAATAAATGTTTGGATGTGATCAAATCTGAGTTTCCTTTCATTGTTATCAATAAAGATCATGTTTGTGATATCTGCCACTTAGCCAAACAAAAGAAACTTAGCTTTCCTATCAGTCAAACCCACAGTAATAGCATTTTTGATCTGTTGCATGTAGACATTTGGGGACCATTAGCTATTCCATCTATCCATGGACATAAGTATTTTCTGACAATTGTAGATGATTTTTCTAGATATACTTGGATATTCCTAATGAAATCTAAAGCTGAGGCTTCTAAGGCTCTCCAAGATTTTATTATCTTTGTTGACACACAGTTTAATAAGAAAGTGAAAACAGTAAGAAGTGATAATGGGTCAGAATTTATCATGAATCAATTCTACTCCAGCAAAGGAATCATTCATCAGACTTCTTGCCCCTACACTCCTCAGCAAAATGGAATAGTTGAGAGGAGGCATCAACACATCATGAATGTAGCAAGAGCTCTCTTGTTACAAAGTTCTTTGCCTAAAGTTTACTGGTCCTATGCTGTAAGACATGTTGTTCACATCATTAACTTGTTACCAACTCCATTGCTGGATAACAAAACACCCCACGAGCAAATTTTCAAAAGAAACCTGACATACTTCACCTCAAAGTATTCGGGTCCCTATGCTTTGCCAGCTCTCATGCTCATAATAGAAGAAAACTAGATCCAAGGGCTTATAAGTGCTTATTTCTTGGGTTCAAAGATAACACTAAGGGATTCATAGTGTTAAATCTGCAAACCAGGGAACTAATGATCACTAGAAATGTCATCTTTCATGAGTCAATTTTTCCCTACCATCTAAAACATCAATCTTCAAACACAGATATCCTACCCCTGCCACTTCAAACTGATCCCATTTTTGATGATATAGACCTCTATTCAAAACCAACATCATCACATCAATCCAATACTACTCCAACTACAACACAAGAATCTACTCAACCCACTTCATCATTTACACATGACAACCAATTTGAATCTGTTGAAACAAACACCAGCAATCCCAGAAGAAGCAACAGAAGTCATAACCCTCCTACATATCTCAAGGATTATCACTGCAAGCTGATCAATCACACTTGTAGTGACAACCCTACAACACCTTATCCTATCTCCTCATACTTATCCTATGATAAATTGGCTCATGATTACAAATCTACCATCCTTTCTATGACATCCAATCACAATGAACCTCATTCCTTTAAACAAGCAATACAGTTTGATTATTGGAAAGAGGCCATTCATAATGAACTTACAGCCTTAAAGGATACTGGAACTTGGGTCCTTACTCATTTACCTCCAGGGAAGCATCCCATAGGTTGCAAATGGGTATTCAAGATTAAACATAAGGCTGATGGCAGTGTTGAAAGGTATAAGGCCAGATTAGTGGCAAAGGGATATACACAAATAGAAGGGATTGATTACAAAGATACCTTCTCACCAGTTGCTAAGCTTACAACAGTTAGATTACTTCTAGCTTTGGCTTCCATAAATAAATGGTTTCTTAAACAGCTAGATGTCAACACTGCCTTTCTACATGGGGATCTAAAGGAAAAAGTTTACATGACTTTACCTCCCGGAATGGAAGCTGATTATCCTGGACAAGTCTGTAAACTACAAAAATCACTCTATGGTCTGAAACAAGCTGGAAGACAATGGTTTTCCAAACTATCTACATTCTTAATCCAGTTTGGTTATGATCAATCCAAGAGTGATCATTCCTTATTTGTCAAGCGCCAACGACATTCTTTCACTGCCCTACTAGTATATGTTGATGACATAATACTATCTGGAAATGATTTACATGAAATTAATCATGTACAGACAGCACTTGACACAGCTTTCACTATCAAAGATCTTGGTAACCTGAAATTCTTTCTTGGACTTGAAATTGCAAGATCTACATCTGGGATTGTGCTGAATCAGAGAAAATACACATTGGATATCATAGAAGAAGCTGGTTATTTAGGATGTAAGCCCTCATCCACTCCTATGGATCCTAACACACATCTATACCAGGATG